ATGAACGGGCAGGCAACATGTTGCTCCGTGTAGCAATTAAAGACAAGCACAGAAGGGCTAAAGCCGTTCTTAAAGCTAAGAACCATTACTGATTTCACTTACGGTCACGTTTCTTCGCCAACAGGTGACATTTCCAATTCGACCTTAACCGGATTAATTTCATCCTTCCGCCATTAGGAGAACCGGAAGAGGGACCAGTCACGAGAATGGCTTTTGGTCTGTCGTCTGCAAGGGCCTTTAGTCTGTGTATCAGGTTTGCGCGTATCCTTGGTCCTGTTTGTGCGTTTTAATAAATTGAGTTTTTCGCATGGCTTGATTAGTCAAGGGAGCCACCGTGGCCACCGTGGCACGGAAGCAGCGCCAACAGGTGGCCCACAAAACAAAATAAAACTCATGAAAAGTCTGGAAAAGTGTAAACAGACTTCAAGTATGACATCAGCTTGGTGTATTGTGGCATGCGATAAATTTATTCACACAGATGTACGAGTATAAACAGGCAATCACGACCAGATGCTGGCGAATATCTCCATGCCACCATACAGGTGCACTCGAGGCGTCACCGCTGCGTGGCAGGCAGGCTGTCAGCCATTTTTGCTGACTCTGTCAGTGACACTGCCACTTAATGCGGCATTGCTTAGCCGCCCGCCCCCACATTGGCGCTCTGTTTGCCTGTGGCTGTTGTTTCCAAATTACGCAGCAGAAATTAGGGTACGGTCTGACATTTGGTCTAATCCCACACAGCGAGCCGAGACCACGAATGCGTGTGCAAATGCCCGTAGGTAGAAGTAAATGTAATCTGATTACATGCAAACAAACATAATTTATTGCCCATTCGATGGAGTTTATCAGCAGCGGCACTCTGCTGTCAGGACGTGGTCTGGTCTACTCGTATTTGTTGCACACTCAACGCTGTTTGTGCGATTGATTGCATAACCGTAAATTATGCAACGCAACAGACTGCTGATGATGGCCAGTGCAGGCCCTTCAGAACGAGGACCGTCGTCCTACCAAACACTGCTCGGGCAGCGGGTGAGTGCTTTTAATATTCATCTAATGCACTCGACGTGTTGTGTTAGCAAACTGCAGGCCATCACGGGTATACTCGACCAGGACTGGCCAGATTCCGACTGACTTACAAGCTCCCTTGGCGCAACAGGGTGTCGACAGACACGATTCCCTTCCGCCCACAGACATTGTGTATTAGCTTCATTTTTCTTGGCCAACTCTTCGTTGCTGCTGCTGTTGTTTCCAGCATCTGGCAGCTGCTGCATCTGAAGCCCCTCCCCCCCCTGCTGATGATGCGGATGTCCGTCCACTCTGGGTGCCTGTGTGTGTGTGTGTGCTAAGTGAGTGTTGCTACCTGCACATGACTGCTCGTCCGGGTCCGGGCTTGTGCGTGGGGGTACCGTGGGGATGTTGCTGCTGTCTGTTTGGAGCATTCAACTTAGTATTGAAATCATTGATATGCCATCGGTAGTGCAGGGTCCATGTCCGTGCAGCACTCACACCCTGCCATATGTCTGGGTCTGGGTCTGGTTGCGGCCCTTTCTGTTTCGTCGAATCACGCATGCAGCTCGATGCCGCACGTGGCGTATGCGCAATATTGGGACGCTTCATTGGGACCTGGTTTTATTTGCTGCTGCTGCTGCTGCTGCTGCTTACCTGTTTACGCATTCAATTTATGCATTGACTTTGATTACGTTGTGCAGTATGCAAAACGCGTAATTTGATTTTTGATAACTGTTAGATGGGAATCTTCTAATGACAATTCGGTTGGAATATCTCGATTGATTTTTTACTTCTTTGCCACCTTCCTGTATGGCTCTCAGCCGCCAGCGTGTCAGCCAACGTGCAATAAACCGCCCCTGAGAAATGTCAAGAAGCCAGACCGTGGAGCACGTGCAGGATACGCTGGTTCGCGGTTGTGGCTTCACTTTAATGGTGCTAATAAGGCGCTGGTAATTATAATTGAATTACTTGCAAGCGCGCTCTTACACACACACACACACACACTCACAGTCTGGGTAAAGTGGATACCCGCTCGTGTTGGCCATTAGATTTTTCTCCGTGTGCAATTACGGCAGAGGCAGCGGCAGGAGCCGGAGCCGGGCAGCCAGTACTGACATATAAAAACTGATTTATGCCCCGGTCTTCCAGGACCGTATATAAGCTAAGGAGTGGAGGGGGGAGCAGAGAGGCAATTCAATGGTAAGTCAAACAGTTCCCGGCACTCTTGATGTTGATGCAGTTGAGATTTAATTTGATTACATTGGCATGGGAGAGCAGGGCAAACATCTTCTGATTGCCTGAATAAGCAATGAGGAGGGCATAAGCTAGATGTGGCTTCAATGGGTGGCGGTAATGTGAGCATCCTTGGACCAGGGAATCCTTGGCGCCATCCACCTCCAGTTGTGTATTAATACACATATTACGCAATTAATAACACACGCTGGGTGCTCAGCTGGGCGCAAAATGTAACACTTGGTGCGGAGTGTTCCCCAACAGGCAGCTGCATCCTTGCCGAGGCCCCGTGCTAAATTAAGAGCCTCATGCAGCAGCAGCATCAGCATCAGCAGCAACAGCATCTGCTCGGGAAGTCAGTGAAGCTGCGTACCGTAAATTTATAGCCGCATGGAAACGCAACTTGTGCAGCCATAAATGGCTGAATGAATTGCTTCTGGAGTGCGAGTGGATTCACAAAAGTGGCCACTGAACCCGTCCCACTGGATGGTTGCGGCACCACCATCAAGGAATCAAGTACGTGGGCAAGCGCCTGCACTTCTCTCCGCCTCTTGGCATCTCTGAAAGTGCTTTTCTTTATGGCCCTCTTCTCACTACCCGCATGAAAATTGTGCCGTAGCGGTGCAAGGGACTGGGGCAGGAAAGCAGCAAAAAAGCTTCACTGAAATGTATAAAATTGTGCCAGCTAGGCATTCTTTTCCTTCCTGGCGACTGCGTCTTCCTGCTGCCGCTGTTGTCTTGTGCGCTCACACGGAAAAGCAGACAAAATGTATCTGTGACAGCGGCAGCCAAGAAATCCAGGATAACCAAGCGGAGCAAGAGCCCAAAACGAAAGACGACAAACGAATATTTATTACAGGTGTTTGCCTTTGACTGACAGCAGGGAGCCAGCCCCGGGGACGGGTACGGGTAGGGAGGATTTAGTTCTGGGCACTCGAATAAGAACTCAACTTTAAGATTGAAGCACATCGGGCAGATTCTTTTGTTCGATTGTGCCTGCAAATTGATTTGGCATCATCAAATCGTACTCCGTGCCCGGCCAGCCACACAGCACACAGCTCCCAGACGAAGGCAATTCGCCTTCAAATCCGATTTGGGTCGGTATTGAAACCCGAACAAGAATTCCAGGAAAAGCTGCCACCAACTGTAGAATAAAGAATTTTTACAAAATAATCACAGAATAACCGCACAAAAACCACAGCATTTCATAAGGTAGCCATACCCGTGGAAGGTGGAATTTAAAGCAGAGCAAGGACCCCGCGCAGCCACTTCACAGCGAAGGGGAAAATATGCAGAATTGCACTTTTAAACATTTCAAAGCACCTTGGCAGGACCTCGGTGACAGCGAGGAGAAGACAATCCGCGGCACTCGCTTGGCACCCCCTGCTGTCGACCAAGTGGATTTACCTGGTTAGGTATGCAAATCTACGTGAAACTTGCTGCAAGACAATGGAAGCCAAAGTATCTTTTGCCAGGCAGCTGAGATTTATTACCGCCCGCGGGGATTGGCAGCGCCAGATACTCTCGTCCTCTCGTCCTCTCGTACTCTTACTTACATAAATGTAAATGCAGACGGTAACCAAAAAGGAGGAGCATCATTTCCATTCCCATCATGGCCATGACCAGGCTGCTGGTGTTGGTTGGTCATTCTGATTAGAAGCCGTAACGTAACGGTTTGCCACTGACAGTTAATGAGGGGAATCTCTGTGGGTTGGGGGGCTGGCGGGTTGGCAAGCTTGTGGAGCGTTTTCATGTGCTCGTGATGTGTAATTAATTTTCGGCAACATCTGTTTATCCTAATTAGAGATGAACGCCCCGTGCAGCGGATACATATGCAGGGTTGGAGTGGCGTATGGGTGTGGGTGTGGCCCGAGGCGTTTTCTTTTCATTTATCATTATTAGAATTCTGGCCCCAAAAACAAACCCTAGGGTCAGCAGAGAGATGAAAGAGGGCTAAAACGAGCCGAAATCAAGTGAGTAATGGCTGGAACGGCTCCTGCATGGCAAATTCTCTTAATCAGCGCACCAGCAGCGGTACCAATTTCTATACATAGATATACATAGATGTTCATAATGACTTGGCAATCGAGTATTGGCTTATCCTTTTGCTGCTGCTGCCAAAAACTTAAAAAAAAGAAAGAAAAAAAAAGAAAAGGAAAAACTGGGCAAAAGCAATCAACGCATCTCCCGACTAATGGAAAATTGGCTGAAGTGGGACTGAAGTCGGTGGAAATTCGAGGGAAAATTCGCCAAATTGAACTCGAGCAACTTTGTCATAAAATGAAATTGCAAGAAAAATCAACGAATGGGATAATCAGAATAAGGACGGGGCATCGCCATCCATCCGCCCGATGGGCCATCAAAAAGGGGCAGGCAGACGCTCTGTCTCTTTGTCTGTGTCCTTTTTATGCCGTCCCTCTTTTGACTTCGAATTTGCCAATTTATTATGCGTGGTTTCTTTTATTCTGGTCTCTCCTCTCTGTCCGCCTGAAAGAAAGGTTAACAAGCCAAAAACGACACAAATCAAAGGAAATTCTCTGACTCGAGTCTCTGTCTCTGTCTCTGTCGCTGCAGGCGAATGCAGATGGAATGGAATCAAAAGCTTATAATTAATCAGTTCGTCTTGGACCAGGGAATATCGCATGCGATTTCTGTCTTAGAGCCACGCAAAACAACTCCAAGCAACTCTTCAAGCGACTGTTGCTGTTGGTGCTTTGGCCTATAGGAAACTCGTGCTGTATCGTGTTCTATCGTGTGCTATGTTCCATTCCCATGACGTTCCATTCCACACGTACACAGGCAGCCAACGTGGGGGCCAACTGTTGGCGCTGTCTGGCGTTCTGGCATTCAGTTGTGAAAATTCTGCCGCGTCGGTTGTGTGCCCAGGCGCACGAACAGCACTTTTCCAGGCCGACATTTGCCGACGGCGTCGGTTGAGCATAACGGTACCTTTCAATCCTACGTGAGCGTGGGCGTCCATGCGTCTCTCCATGTGTGTGTGGGTGTGTGTGTGTGTGTCTCTGCGTGTGCGTGTAGCCGAAGTGAAGTGCGCTGTGCTCGTCGTCGCTATGAATGGATGGTCGTGATCGCAGGCAGCAGCAGCAGCAACTGAAGAAGTTTCCATTTTCCGATTACAATTTCAGTTCCGGTCGACTCTCGACTCCCTTCTGCTCAGAGCAAACGGACGACCAACCATCCAATATTGTTGAATATTCCCCACATTTTGGTACCTGCGGGTGATTGTGGGTGATGTGATAAACGACAGTTGCTGCTGCTGCTGCTGCTGACATTTGAAACTGGCGCTCAATGCTGCTACGTGCTTTCCACAGAAAATAAAAGAATACAATGCAAAAACTAAAGAGGCGAGAGCCTCAAAAACCAACAACAACAATTAAATGCTATTATAATATTCGCAAAAAGCGAGACTATAGTGTGTGAGTGCATTTATTATGCATTCGCCAGCCAGTGTGAAACGAGTGTGAATGCCTTTTATGTGATTTTATTGTGTTTTTGTGTCTTTGCGGCAGTGCCGTGCCGCTTGTTCTGTTCTGTGCGGCTTGGTTCCTTGTTTGCAAATTGTTTTCCCTCGTTTCATTTAGTTTCGTAATTTCCCTCATTAGCAAACAATTTCGTTTGGCTGTCATAGAACAAACAGCATTGACAAACTGCAATTTTCATAATTGTCCCGCTGTCAGAGTGCCCATATGCTGAAATAAACATATCTGTTTATAGATGCAGCCCAAAATATGATGTCAGCCAGAGATCGAGCTGTCGGGCTGTTTCTGGTTTCTCTGTGACAATATTGCTCAGCAAATAAAACACATTTCCATCAAATTCTAGCGCAAACAAACTATAAATTTTATGAGCCCAGCTTAGCCACACTTAATGGAATATTTCAACCGAATGTGGAATAGAACATGGCGAATTTAGTCAAAATGCGTGCAATTATTCAACGCCTGACAACCAATTAATTGGCAAAAGAGTGAGTGCGGCGCAGCGCGGAGCGGCGGCAGGCAACATTGAGAACAAACGGGAGAACAAACAGCTCGCGGCAACAAGTCGAGAGGCCCACAAAAAGTTAGGCAGGCAAACTGTCGAGCCGGTTAACGCCTCCCAAGTGCATCAACAAACAGCAAACAGAGCGGCAGAGTGGCGGCAGCGGCAGCGGCAGCGGCCACAAAAACTTGACCGATTTTTCAATCAATTCGGCGACGGCCGTGTCGCTAATCTCGCCCAGAGAGCCCCCTCCCCCCCGCCGTTTACAATCGCCATCGAAATCGCGATGATTTATGCAGGTGAGTCGCACCTACATGCCCCTATGGACATATAGATCTACGATTACTGGGTAGTTAGCTGGTAAGAGTCTGGTAAATGTCTGTCACAGGCGCAGGGAACAGCAGTTTTCGAATCCCCTTCAAATAGTTAGATAGATATTTCCATGAGTTTCGTGGCATCCCATATTCAGAACATCGCACTCTATTCTTGCCACAGTTGAAATTGCCGCTAGCGCCGTTTAGCTATGTAAATGCGTGGAAAGACGGCTCGGATGGAGTTGTGGTTAGACTATTGGAAATTAGTTTAAGTGCTCGACAGACTCAGTTAATTGCAAACCCATATCAACAGCCATGAGGGGCCCGCAACGTAATTAGCAGACGAGGGCAGGGGAGTGGGGAGTCGTGTGGCACACAAATTACAAAGCAAAACCGAAAAACGAAAATTACAAAAATACAATCGTCAAGTGTTTTGTGCATTTGTGCGGTTTTTTCTGTCTAGAGCCAGAGCCGCAGCACGTGCCCCATTCCTATTCTGGTTAGAGACAGTGTTTATTCAGTGGCCTTTCAGAGTGTCCTAATTAACTAAATTGGTTGCCCTGTTGACAATGGAAACCAAAGTGTGACCGACCGGCAAGAGTTTCGTCCTTCTTCCTTTGGTTATGCCGAGTGTGAAGCTTAACAGACACAATGAGCCGCTGACAGGTGAAATGGGGGCAAACAATGAAAGTTGTTTTGACAGGCCACACAAAGGGCCGCAGTCCGGACTGCCGACCGAAAGGAATATCCAATAATACGGACAGATGGCTTGGCAGTTGAACACAAGGGAATTTCAATCTTTCCAAGTGAAAGGTGAATTAGGTTTTCCTTAATTTATTGTAATTCAAAGTAGGAATAACCCAAGCACTGAGACACTCCAGCTGTCGCTTGAAGTCACGATTTTCCGCCCTTAATTAAGCCCCAACTGATGAACCGGAGTCTACCCTTTAAACGTTTGTTTTCCCTATTTTATCCGCCGGAGCAACTACCGCCTGGCTCTAACATAATTTTGTGTTATGTGCAGCACTCTGTGAAGGCATTCAAATTGCTTCCTTGTCCGAAAGAAAGCGGAAAACAACAGAAACAACAAAGGCGAGGCAGCGCCTACGTGCATAAGCCACCGAAACCTGAGATTCTTTCGCTCAGTCGACACAAAAAAGAGCGTCAGCATAGAATTGTGCAACACCCAGCCCAGTCTTGCCACTCGGGCCCCCACTGGGGCGCGGCAGTGGCAGGGAGGAAGGGAGAGAGTGGGGCAAGCCCACACGTACATCGAAACGAAGCGAAACAAACCAGTTGAAATATATTAATGGGGCGGGAATGAAATTGTTTTAGGTGTTTTGCTGCTCGGAGTGTGTTGGCATTAAACTTGGCATTAAATAACAATAACCCAGCAATAAAACGGGGATGGGGGCGGCAACGTAACCCTTTCACTTTCGCTTTCCCTTTCAGTGTCGCTTTTGTTTTTCTTTTCCATGTGTGGTCCTCCGCTGTGTTTTCGTGCCATTTTGCCGCCTTATTTCAAAGTTGTCACCTTACCCTTATGACCCCTGAGCTTCCCTGAGCCTCATATGCTCAAGTAGGCTTGCTCATGTAGCAAACAGACAATGGAAGGGCACCCGGAAACAAAGGAGCACAGCGAAAACTTCATTGCGTATACGACGCGTGAGCCCCCCAAGAAGTCTCCCAGTGTGCGATGTCTGCTCAATGTATTTGGCAATCGTCGAGCACTTTTTATGGCCATGCCAAATTTAGGTTTGTCTTTTTGTATACCTTTGGATGCTATGTGGCGCGAGGTGGAGTCAAATTTTGTGTAGAAAGATCTCGTAAAAGTTTTGATTGACACGCAGTGGCCTGCAAATTAACAGCTCATTCCGATGCAGCCACAAAGTGGATGCCAAATGAAGCATGAGGAGGCAACGACCAACGACCCAACGGTCGTGGCAACGGCCAAGAGCCAGCCAGTGGCAACTGGAACGGAAATGAGTTCCACTGCTCGTGGCGAGCTTAGCACTTGAAAAATCACCTAATTCATTTAAAAAAGCACCAGAATGTCAGAGCCAAAGGCGAAGCGAAGGGACTCCATTTGCCAAAAAGGACGCTGTCGTCTGGAGAAGTCTGCCAGAAGTCGCCTTGCTTGGCTTTTATCTGCAGAAGTCGGATACGAAACGAGGCGAGGAGTCGACAAACTAATTTAAAAATCCACTTGCTAAGCGTTTCCCACCTCCACGGTCCATCGACCGGGAGGTGGGACCACTCTGGGGCCACTCTGAGGCAACTCAGGGGCAACTCTGGGGCAACTCTGGGGACTGGGGTCTAGGCTGGGCCGGGGATATATATTTTTTTCATTTCTTGCCTTTTATGATGATTTTGCACTGCGTGGCAATAGTAGAGCAAACATTTTAGCCCCCCAAGTGTTTAAATATAAAACGGAAATGAGCTTTACTCTGGGTCCTGCTCCGCTCTCTTTCTTCGGGCCGAAACGTGCCCAATGAACTGGAGCCATGAACTCGTCGAGAACTTCTACGAGTGCCATTCCGCCCGCCCAAGTGTCTTCCCCTCCTTCTCGAGAGTGTTCGAGTGTGTATATGGAAATGCTAATTAATGGCTGAAACTTTCTTTGCCAGACACTTTTGAATTAATTGCTCACCTACACAAGTAATTCCATTTCATTTGCCTAGCCCGTTGCCAGTTGCCCATTGCCAGTTGCCGTTTTTGCAATTTTTATTGCCTCTTCCAGGCCAACAGAAACAGAAACAGAAACCGAGAGCGAAGTCATCCAGTCATCCGATATTCAAGCGAATTGCCAGACACGAGCCATGTTTGGGATGCCAGCCACGCCCGGACAACCGATGGAATTGCATTCTATCAGACGATAATAAAATTGCATTTGCATCGAATGCAAAATACAAAAAAAAAAGACACAAGTATATTTCTATATCCGACGGATATGTAAAAGAAAAGCAATTTATGGATTTGGTTTCAATTGTTTTGTCATTTTGATTGGCAGCTTGAATTGGCATCACAGCTCATCCATTTGGCAGGTTTGCCAATGTTTTGTGTTGCGCTTAGTCTGTTTTCGATGTCAAATGTCGGGGATTGCCATACCCATTGCCATTGCCATTGCCCTTTGCTCTCCGCCCTTGCCAGTATCATTATGTTGGATGTCGCTTTCAGATCAATGCGATATTAAGTCCGTCATCAATGAAATTTTACCCCTGCTCCGTGCTGACAATGGGAATCGAATGAATTGAAAATCGGATTCGTTTCGTTTCCTGGGTGTGTGCCAGTATGTAACTGTATGCGACTGTAATTAATCTAATTTGCAGTTTTCCTTCCCGGGAAACATCTGGCTTTGTGGCCCGCTACGTGCGTGTGGGGTAAAAGCCAAAACCAAACCCAGACCCAGACCCAGACCCAGACCCACTGCCAGATCCAGAGCAAATCTCTGCAACCGTCGAGCTGTGAATGAATGAATGGTGGCTTGAGTTTATTCATGCATTCATTATAGTGACATTCATTAGTTAATTGATCAGCCATGGCGGAATGCCAGACCGAAATTTAAAAATGTAAAACATTTTCCCGGCACAAAATCCAAACACAAATTATTTCGCACATGAAAACCAGCAAAAAAGAAAACACAAATTCTGAAAACTAAACAAAAAATATAAACAAAACATAATACGACACGGACATAGACAGAGAGAGACAGGGACAGTTGCATGAAAGGAAAAGTGGGTGTGGGTGTGGGTGTGGATATGGGTGAGAGTGTGTGCAAACAGAGGGGGGAAAGTGCCCAAAGCGTTTTCACAGTCAATTTTCTATGTAAAGCCAAAAGACAAGACAACGCCTGCCATGTGTGTGTGCATAGGAAACGGAAAGGGGTTATGGCTGTTGGGGGTGTTGGGTGTTTTAGTGTAAATTTTTATATTTCGTTGAGCATGGCACATAAATTCTTTTGTTAGTTCTGGGATAAGGCCATCAGAACGAGCCCACGCTCTCACTCTCTAGCACTCTCTGTCCCGCTCTCTGGGTGTGTTTATGTATGGGTATTTGTGTACATTCAGGACAGGAATAAGCATAAAAGCCTTAATGGCACACATTTAAAGTAGTTCTAGGCTGAATGAACCCTTAAAGTACAGGTCCCCATGCGATCGTAGCCGGACTGGACTGACACACTGCACGAAAGAACTGGTTACTGCGAAAGAACTGTCGTGGATCCTTTAATGAAGAAGCTTTGAGAGGTATGCTCTTATGTCCATTATCCACAGTGGGATAAGACTAGGGACCACTCAACCACGGAGGAGAACTCTAGTAGGTTGAGGTCTTAAGAACTCCTCAATTATCACCATTCGGATACCAAAAATTGTCAATAAATCCTTCTTAGCCAAGAATGACATATATGCACATAAAAGGGTTCTTTAAAACACATCAATTATGCCTAAACTTCTCTCCTGAAGTAAATATCTATAAAATTGCGCAAATAAAACTACTCCAATTAAATACTAAATCAAGTTGCTGTTCAGAACCTCTCCATACAAATATCCTCTTCAACCCAAAAGAAAAACTATATTATAGGCAATCTGTTAATCTTAAATCATCAAAGTCAATTATGTACGAGTACATTTGTACATCAAGATTAACAATAATAATATTTAACCATCATAAACTTTTGATACTGTAAACAAATGGGAGCCAACCCGACCCCAGAGTACAGAGAGATGTTTTTCCTAGCCGTGCACGTTTACCTTAACAGCAACACAATGAAAATGAAATGGAAAAAGGAAGAAAAACAAACACACAAACAAGTACACAAATGAATGTGAAGGGCGGGGAGGCGGGGAAGGCGAAGGCGGCGGACGCAAATGTAATGACACTTAAGTGGCCCTGAATCTCAATCCCGATCTCTTTGCAGTCGAGTGATTTCGCCTTGTTAACAACGCCACCTTGCCGATGACGTATAGAGGTATACCGAGTACGTATAGTTTTTGTTGCTGTGGCAACTAAGGCACTCCTGGATTTCTTTATGGCCCTTCGGGGCCTACATTTGAACGGGCTAAATAATTTATAGAGCTTTTGCTTATGCTAATATTTGGGGTTGGGAAATATTAGATTCATATTTAATGGCTCTTAAAGTGATTTATTTTTGGAAAGTGGCCTGCGTAAATTTATCCCTGGGATCTATTGTTCACGTTTGGTCTCCTTGTGGGTTCTTGGCCCATAAAAATTCATGTTTTTTTATCGCTGGAAATATATTTTAATGAAATTCGCTTTAATTATATTGTTTTCTCTTCGCACAATCCCCCATTAGATGTCTAAGCCACACACACAATCCTTTTGACTTTCATAAGCAGTCCGGAACCAAAGCCATGACAGCTGTTTGTCTGTTTGTCCTGTGGCTGCTAGTAACCAGAAATGAGAAATGAAACTTTTTCGACGTATTCGACACACACATCTAATTAGTTGGGAGCCCCGCCATCATTGTGTATGCAACGCACAGCTCTATATATATGAATGTATAACCCTCTAATTTGCTGGAAGTTGCTCATTTCCGACTACGGAGGAAAATGGCTGCACATGACATGACATCCCATCTGCAGTTTCCCACTCTCCCCCCGAGTTTCCGCCTCGGAGCCTTTGAGTTAATTTAATTTAGCATATTTAAATTGGATCAGTGCACGATGAGAATGATGACGATGTTTTCTTGGCAGAGTGCATTATGTCATAATGGCAGACAAAAGTGTCCGCTAATACGTAGAAAGCAGGAGAATTATTATGCAAATGCTCGTTAAATATACATATCTCTGGACTCAGGACATATGTAGCTAGAGATAGAGGAGGATGGAGGTACAGAATGAATCAATGCTATCGTGCCGGACAGCCATAAGGCAAATATGCATATATTTATTAATAGGTGCCCACTCTAGATTGTCCTGGGAGTGGCTGATGGCTGTCGCAAATGAATAAAAATTAGCCAGGCCTAAGGGCCAAGAATTCTGAATGTCATTAAATACAAATTATGGTTATTAGCAGATTTCGGGCGAAGGGCCACAGGCCCTGACAATGATTTGACCTTCTTAGGCGCCAGAACGCGCCGAAAATTTAAATGACGCATTCGGACTGTGGACTGTGGACTGTGGGATCTATATTCATACTCGGTACATACAGCCAGGATGATTTTGGATATTTGGAGGCACGTGGCCTCATTATAATATTCCCATTATAAATGCGTGAACGCGTTACTAGGACCTTTCCGGCCGGGTCGCGCCCATGACTTATTCAATGTTTACCGTGTTGTCAGCCATCCAGCCGGTCTGGCCAACGCTTTAGGCCACGGTCAAGGGGCAAGCTCAAGTTATTAAACATTGATTACCTATCGATTCCGGCATTGTTGTAGTACATGTTTGTCTGTCTGTCTGTGAGGGCTGGCGGAGACTTCGAATGGAATGGAAATGGAAATGTAAGAGGTGCCAGCAAATGCAAATTACGTGTGAAAATGCAATTTCTCATCTCTCCGCAGTTGTGGCCACGCAGTTTGACATTTCATTTCGGGTTCCTGTCCCCTGCCAGCTGGGAAAGCCGATGTCAAGCTGCCTGAAGGAGTGACAGGCCGTGAAATGAGCGAAGGCCAAATAAAGGGGAATAAATTGTAAGGAAGCAAGGAAGCAAGCCCATGCTGCAATGAGCCTTTCATCAGTGAAAGAGAATTGGGAATTGGGAAATTCTTTAAGGTTTACCAAACTTTTAAATGCATTTTCAAGGCAAAGAAAAGCTTCTGCCCCTGCTGCCGCTGGTGCCACTGCCACACTCAATCAAAATTGAGTTATTTGTCAGTTTTTCTTCTCGGAACTTGTATATTTATTTTCCGCATAACTTTTCCATGGAATGCAAAACTTTGGGGCTACCTATAGAAACTGTACAAGTCACTGGAGAAACTTCCCCGGAAGGCAATTAGCAAATTCTGATAGCTTTTGTCATCGCACAACTGAAAAATTCAAAAGAAAAACAATTGGATTTATTGATTGTCATCGACAAGTCGCCTGTAAGACTTTACGTCCGTCCCCCGTCGCCCCCATCACACCTAAGCTCTCTATTGATGCTGACAAATCTATATTCTATGTGCCATAGGATTTTTGGGAAACAGTAAATTTATTGACAGCTCCAGAAAAATCAAGTGCCAGCTCGAAATTTCTCTTGATACGAGCAGAAGACAGCAAAGCAATTGACGTAGAGTCTCTATCTCATGGTGGAAATGAATGAAAATTGCGTATACGACATGTTGTTGCGAGCAATTGACAGCCTTACAATCTATTTACAATCCATATTTACCAGCCCGTTACTCTACCCTCTCGCACTCTCTCCATTTGCAGGTTATTTGGAAATTTCCGACAGAATTCCAGAGCATATATATTCACGACTTATACATATTTGATATGTAAACCACGAATCGTGTAAACAATAGAGTAAACATTCCACAGGCCGGCGATATTGGAGGAATCCGCTCCGTTTGACTTGACTATTCGTGGGCGTGTGCATATTGACATTGACCCCCCACCGGCGGTACGGTGTGCCACACAAATTCGCTGTTCTGGATGGAGACAGAGTGCGGGTGCCGTGGCCCACGAGACGAGAACGGATCAGCTGGAGCAGCGGCATCGGCGGTGGCAGCGGCAGCGAGACCAGGAACAGGCACAGGCCCCGGCCCACAGTCAACCACAGCAGCCACGACAACAACATGGCCATAAGGGAACAGCAACGAACAAACTGTAGTTCATGGTTACAACAACCCAACAAACTGCTGCTATTGGTGAGTGATTCAACAGGGATTGGGGCAGTAGTTAAGGCGCTACTTTCGGGCGTTAACAAGAGTCCCAACTTAAGGTTCATTCTTATCCCGATTCGATCTGGGTCAGGACTTTCCTGATTTCTCTTTCAACTTTGGACCAACTACAATCAATCAAACGGAATTTGAATGCGACTCTATTTGCCCTAAGGACTTGCCGGGACGGGAATGGCAAGCATGTCGCGGACAATTAGTCAAGCCTGATGTTGAAATTGTGCTTGCTGTGTGTTAAAAATTTAGTTGGCAACATTTCCTGTTATTATTTCCGCTGCGCGTTTCCGCTGTGGCACTGTGGCACGCACGTTCTGCACGTGGCTTCTCGAGGAGTAAACTGGGCCCAAGGAGGAAGTTATTTCGTGCAGGAGCTGAAGTTTCAGTTCCAGTGGGGGCACGTTTTAGTTCTGTTGTCAGTTGCACATTTGGCCGATGGAAAATATGTCCCTCGTGGCCTTTTCTGTGTATCTGTGTGAATGTTGCAATCAACTTTGACATGTTGACGCGTGTGTGTGAGTGTGCCCGACATTGATTATCTTGTAGATGTGCCCTGTCTGTCAGGCTGTTTGCGTTGCACCAGCAGCAGCATCAGAGTTTTGTGTGACGCTTAGTGGAGTTACTGTTGGGCAAATGTGCGCCAATAAATCCAGCGCCTCAATCTACATGGCACTTGTGGGTGGAGCAGCAGCAGCAGTCGCGGCATCAGCAGACGACTCTGTCACTTTAATGCTCCGCTGAAAGATGCTCGTAAAGTTCAGACACACACGTCGTACGACGTCTCGTAAAACGACCATTACACACAAATTTCAGGGAATGTGTGCAAGTGTAAGTGAGGAAGAGACAGATAAATCGGTAGAATGAGATCTGTTAATGGCCCCAACTACTTAGCAATATCAGGCAGCTAAGCCATTAATTCAATTTTAATTACTTAAAGCAATTTTCATCATAAATCAGTAATTCAATTTAGCCCAGCACAGGCACAGGCCTCCTCTCCTGTATGTCCTTGCCAGCAAAGCCACTCAGATGGCACTTGAACAATTCTTGAATTCCAGGCCTGCAAGCTCATCGAGTGGCTTTAGCCTGTCATTTGCATTTGATATTCAGCAACGTAATAGGTAATTATGTTCGTAAAAGAGACATGACAATGGCAAAGAAGGCTCAAGTGATTTCGACAGAGGACAACAAACTCCGTCTGCCAGACGACGGCACGACACGATACGTATGGTTGAAAATGTTAAAGTTCAACTCTATCTCTATGCCAACCATTTAAGCGTTTGTAATTGGGGATTTCTGTGTGGGTACGAAATTTTTGGCGCTATTCGCTCCCAATTATCAGAATTAAATTAAAAGTTTTTGCGGCAAACGGTCGACAGGCGGCGAATTGCAGTTGGCAGAAATCAGCAAGCCGCAAAATTGTTTTATCTGCGTGTGGGGTCTGTGTATAATGGTCCGCTTCCGCTTCCGCTTCTGTGGCCCCCGGAAAATGTTGCGTATTTTGGCATTTTAATTCTCTTCCAACTCATTTGGCGGCGAAACTACGGGCCTGACATGGCTTGTTCTATCCTGTTCTGGCCTGGCTAATTGCTGGAAACTGTATTTTGTGCTGCCACAAATGTTGTGGCATAGTTGAACGGAAATGTTTCCGCACTGGCTGCAGTTATTGAATTTCTTTTTGGACTACTCTTGACCAAAAACCTAATTTCAATTAGGATAAATCATTATAATGCAATTTCCCTGGGGGTTCAAAAGCCAGATTTAATTTAATCACTCAATTTGTGGTTATTATTTTGTGTGTTTAAGGGATCAGAATTGACTTGACTTCATAAATCCTTTGAATAATCACTCATGTTGTACGAGTTTTTTGGATTCTGGCATTATCCGGTAGCTTAACAAAATTGTTGTAGTGTAACTGGCACTTGACTGGGAATCCTTTGGTCTTCATGTTTTCCTTTTCACTCCCTTGTGTAATTTCCCTTGAAATCAAATTTTCAGCAATTTTCCCTCGGCGTTTTTTCCTTTTTTCCTCTGTGCATTCTCACTCTCCATTGCCATTTCCGCTCTACTCGTGTGCAACAAATCAGATTCAGGCTCTCCTCCTTGGAGAAGAAAATTAAATGAAATTATACAATTCTACCTATGTTCTTGGCGAATGAGGAGTGCTGCTTCTCAAATACATATTATTTTTTGCTTGAAACAATGGTACTTTATGCTTCATTTGTATGCACAGTGCTTTGGCATGGCTCTATACCAAATAGATATGGTGAATCTTGCCGATATTGCAATTAGGACATGGCGGAAAGTAAACTTGTGGGTCAATGGCGCATCACTGGTGCATTCATCGCCGCACTCTAATGGAAAACCTTAATTATTCTTCGTGCCCTGTCTTCGTTGAGTGGCTGGCGAGTCTCTGCTCTCTGTCGACTTTACGTGTTAAGTGTCCATTAGTTGTGTCAATACCATCCAGTCCCCTGCTCTTCCTACTCCTGGTCCTGGGTAGTGCCTGTGTGTCAAAAAAAGTAGAAATTTCCCAATCAATTTGGACTAAAGCAAACGCTCCCAAAACCTCAATTGGAGGGTTTCGATTGAGTGCAACGCAAGGGCTGGTCGGGGCCACCCCCACTTGAACTTAAACATTGACCTAATAAATAAGGCATCATTCAAGGAGAGGACCCCTCTGCTCTTTAAAGCCATTGGAAATTTATGCCGCCATAAATATCATTATTTTTTTTTTAACGCCTTTTGACAATTAATTTCCATCTAAAGAACTCTGTTAACTTTTTAATGCTGAGCTAATTAAATTTAATTTGCTTCAAAGCTGCACCACCTCTCGCTCCGCATACATTAAATGCTCGGCTCGGCTTTTTTATGTCATCGTCAACTAGGCGTATGCGTAATTCAACAAGAGACCGGCTGGGCTGGGCTGGTTGGCATGGCAATACCCTTACCAGGATTCCCATATCAGACGTTTTTAGTGATCCAATTACACATTTTTTATCGCTTGTTTGTGTTCCGTGAAGGTAACATAAAACAGCTGATTCTGTGGTTTGCTCTCATACATTCTTGCACTTTTTAAAAGAGTGTACTAGGCATATTCAAGTGAAGAGAAGCGCGAAATCAACGCGTGGGCTGGGCTGTGGGTAAAAAGCTTTTACAACTCGCTTTAAATGTCAATTATTTATTATACTCGGCAACTTAATGCTGGCAAAATTCAGCCTGCAACTCAATTTGGGCATTTCCCATTATTAGCTGCCACAAAGCGAGTTTCGGCATGCAAATTTTATATGCGAACAGAATGCCGCCATGGACTGGGGGAAGAGGCATGGCCGGGTGCCTTTCTCCGGCACGGAGCTTGGAGCTTGGAGCGTGAATGCCTTTTAAACTTTGCAATCGGGGCAACAGCATTTTGGCTCCTGCTCGTCCTTGCCACTCGGCTCGGCCCTTCCATATTGTTTGTCATGTGAGTAATTTATGCGAGTTCAGTACACGCATTCCCTGTCCCTGATTGGCTACCAGCTACCAGCCACAGCTACCGCTCCTGGCCTGGCTTGGCCTTCCCGAGTGCTGGGAATATTCCATTCAGCCAGCACTGTGAAAATTTCTCCGAGTGTCAGAGGAAAGGCAACAGCAGGCCCGTCCTTCGCCTGGGGCTGGGCTCTTAGAGGATTAAATAACTCATATGGATGTTGGCCTTGAACTTCAACTGTAATCAATGCTGTTTCCAGCTCTATGAGTAATTTTAAAATCGATACGACTCCTGCCACACATACGTGCTGTCTTTGGCTTTGCTTAGATGGGCTCGTTCCCATGGTTGTCCACTTTGTTGTGGTCACCAGAGGGTCACTTCCGTGTACAAATCCCTTACATTGATCTTTACACAGCAAAACAGGTGTTCATTAGCACATCCACATTCACAGCCACAGAAACGTACCTCCGTTGGTGGAACGTGCCAAAAGGTTCGCACAATCAACAGCCATATATTGTACTTAGATCGGGCTTAAAGAAATGTATACTTTAATCGATTTGTTGCGTGTTCTGAATATCGCGTACCCCCGCCCAATTATTTCCCGAAATATCGAACCAGGGGGTGGCTGCGTGCGTGCCTGCCCGGCAGTCGGCAGAGCCATTAAAGTCAAAAATAATTTCAAATATTGATTAGTAGCCAAATTGTGCGCATAGCCATCGAATGGCGCAGCCAGTTGGCAGTTTATGGCAGCTGATTGCTTGTTTAGCTCGATTTGTAGTTTATCAAGTTAGATGGCATGTTCGATGGGCGCCCTTCTCTCGCTCTCACTCTCAATAAAGAGCCGTGTGCATTGTGTGGAATAGCAATTGAAATGCAGCCAACGATGATGCCGATTCGCATGCCAATTCATTCATAAATTGACTCGACGCGAACACTGCGCACTCAATATAACCCCAGTACAGTGAGGGATCGCAATTAATTATGGCAATTAAATTGCAATGTCCGTCTGCCGGCTGAATACCAAGTGGGGTGGGGTGGGCTCTCAGCCTGGTCAGCTTTACTCGTGTTTCCGCCCGCATTTAATTTTCAATTATTTGCACAGGTCAGCTCTGGATAACACCCAGAGATGGCTTATGCCGTCTTACAAAACAATTAAGCAAATATGCCAGCAGGCATTATGTGCCTGCTTCCCTTCCACTCTCCACTCTCCACCCACCACCCTCCTCTCTCCGTATTCTCTTTCCTCTGTAATTTTACATTTTTTTTCCATTTTGGTTGATGGAGGAGATTTTCCGATTTTCCCTTCTGTGGAAAAGTTTATTTGCCTGCTGGCGCACACAACAGTTGAAAATAACAGAACATCGAGCGTTACTCGAACCCGAGTGCCTTTCTCCTAATTAGAAGCACTGCAATCCTCGTATATTGTTGCACAGTTTCTTTTTAATTCAAGTTTCTATTTAAGGATCCCAATGATTGTTAGCCAATTTGTATGTTCGGGTTCTGTGGTCCACCCCAGTCCCCAGGTCGGTCGATTATTGTTCTAAAAATAGGGACAGTGTCTGAGCGAAAAGCCGTAGGTACTTAATTTAGAGCACACGCACATTTTCTTTCAGTCGGTCTTTTCCTGGGGTCCTGCGGTATTTATAGACCGAAGTTCTTTAATAAATTAATTAGGCACGCGAGGGCCGGTTGGCCCTGACGGATTGTAGCGGCAATCAGTCGAGTTGCGTGGTAACCTTCCTGGTCTTTGGATTGCAGGTGGTGAACACGGATATACAGCCATCTGAAAAGTACCGCCATGAATGAGACAGAGTGCGAGGATCTCATCAAATCTGTGAAATGGACGGAACCAGCCAATCTGATCTCCCTGGCCATACTCGAGTTCATCAACGTTCTGGTCATTGGCGGCAACTGCCTTGTGATTGCCGCCGTCTTCTGTTCGAATAAGTTGCGCAGTGTTACCAACTTCTTTATCGTTAATTTGGCTGTGGCCGATCTACTGGTGGGTCTAGCGGTGCTGCCCTTTTCCGCCACCTGGGAGGTGTTCAAGGTGACTATACATACATATATATATAATCTCTTTTGAACATTTAATCAATGGTTTTCTTTCGGCGTTGGCAGGTCTGGATATTCGGCGATGTTTGGTGTCGCATTTGGCTGGCCGTCGATGTCTGGATGTGCACCGCCTCTATTTTGAATCTGTGTGCCATATCCCTGGATCGGTATGTGGCGGTCACGCGACCCGTCACCTACCCAAGCATCATGTCAACGAAGAAGGCCAAGTCCTTAATCGCTGGCATTTGGGTACTCTCATTTGTTATTTGCTTTCCGCCCCTTGTCGGCTGGAAGGATCAAAAGGTGAGTGTCGACCCACAGTCCCAAGGCCCACAGCCCACCCACAGCCCACCCACAACTGACCCACCGCTGACCCAATCCGATAAATTAACGAGCGAAACGCGGTTTGTCTCTGCCAAAAAGTGAGACGGAGAAAGGAAAACAAAATTGAAAGTCCGTAAACTGTTTTTAGCACGCCCAATCCTCATAAAGAACAAACTAAAGCCCGCTGCTAAAAGTTTTTTGGTGCCCCAAACTGTGTGGCCTCTTCCATGGAGGGTGGCGGTGGGGGTGGACGACTGTCATTGACACCATTACGGGTGAAAGTTGTTGCCCAACCGCAATGACGACGACAACGACAACGACAACGACAACCTCGTGCTAAAGACTGCAATCTGGCTCATTTGTGCCAAAATTACCGTAAAACAAGACACGAGTTTGTCCCTTTTGTTGGCCTGCCATTGGACGGGTCTTCTTCTAATTTCTGCCTACATTCAGAACCGCTTTTCCACAGTTTTTGGCACACATGCAGGCCGTACACTTTCTTACGCAACGGCAATGATAATGATGTGTTATACATGCCCCAACAACAGAGCCATGGGGGCGGAGCACAATTTATGAGCAACCTCTCAGTGGCTCAGTAATCAGTTCAGCGAAGATAGCCAGCCAGCCAGCCAGCCAGCTCTTGGCCCGGCTCCAGTTTATGGGTCCTGCCTTTTGGCTTCGTTTATTTGGGCCTACGTTGTGTCTAACGAAGACATTCAGCTGGAAGCTGATGCATGATATACGGCCCGCCTAGCCAGACATATCAATCTTGAGGTGCTCCTTGGTAACGGACTTTGGTGATGGTGGATGGGACTCTTTAGCCGCATAGCTGCACACACACATGAAAATATATCCTCCGGGCGGAATATTCGTGCGCACAGTCGACTCCATTCACGGCGCCGCAGCTGAATGCAATTGAATGCAGTTGAATGCGCCGCCCGTTTGAATGAATGGCTGGCGTTCTGTTTGCTTCAGCATGGACTTTTTGGTCCATCGATTATTATTATGGTACTGCCTCTCCTCTCCATATGCTCAATTCAATTTCGATTCAGCTGCAGCAGGCGGCAAGAAGGATGGGCACAACATGGGGCAACATGCTTTCACATATGTATTCCCCATATTGCTGGGGGCATTCAGTTCAGGCGGCCAGGGAGGGTCGCTTGGAGCTCGGCTTTGTTACAACGAACGGCGAGATGTATGCTACCTTTGTGTAATATTTATGCACAACACGTAACCGAGTATATTTCGCAATATAGCCCGACCCGCAACGCTTTAAGTTGCATTTTTATTGGCTTCTTAGCGAAGTGAACAGGGTGCCAGCGCGAGCACAGAATTTTAATGGACCAACCGCTCTCAGTGGAACCCTCTAAATATCAAGTGTCATAACATGTAACACACATAACACGACCCTTTCTCAATCCCCTTTCCAGGCCGTTGAACAGCCGACCTATTCGCGGGGAAACTATACGCTTTTCTATGCCACCACGATGTCAAGCACAGAGGATGGTCAACTAGAGTTAGATAGCATTAAGGAACAGGGCGAGCAACTGGAGAGCTCCGCCCGCACTAGCAATGGCAACGCCTACAATCCCTACGATCCCGACTTTGCCCCCATCGATGGCTCCGCCGAGATACGGCTAGCAGCCATGACGACCCCAAGCAGCAGCAGCACCACCACCAGTACATCGCCCCCAAGTCTGGCCACCACCGAAATGGAGTACAACGTGCAGAACAGACCCCAGACAACGCCGGGCAGCTGCCCGTGGAAGTGCGAGCTGACCAACGATCGCGGCTACGTACTGTACTCTGCCCTGGGATCGTTCTACATACCCATGTTCGTGATGCTCTTCTTCTACTGGCGGATCTACCGGGCGGCCGTGCGCACCACGCGGGCCATCAACCAGGGCTTCAAGACCACCAAGGGTAAGTTGAATCCGATTCGGAGGCAATCCAATATACATACCCGTACACCCGTAGCTAACAGACTCCACCAGCTCTCATTTGGACACAGTTTGTTTGAAACTTATTCAATTGTCACCCACGATTTGTCCTAACTTGTGCGTAGCTTAGCCATTCATTTCAAACCATTTACTCGTACTCGTACTCGTACTCGTTCGATATACTACCAAATAAGTAACGTACTCACGTAGATAGTTCATTTTATTCTCTCAATATCGATTGCTAAACAGTTTCAAATCTCTCGACGTGTAGACAATAGTGTGACGTCCCGTTTGTCCCATTTTATGTTGGTTATACAAAAAAAGTGTACATTAAAGACATGCTCACAGACACATTCACAGACACCTCAGTGCCGTCGTCGTCGTCCTCGTCCTCGTCGTCCTTGCCAGATACAGTACTCCCTCCGAAAACCATAAATTGTCAGCCAAGTAAATAACAATTGTATGTGTACGTTTACATTTACATGTGTGTGTGTGTGTGTTGAACAAATACTTTTATGAGGAACTGTATAAATTGACAAAAAGCAAAAAGTATACAACTAAATTTACATATGCATATATTCGTATAAATAACTACTCACACACACAGTCACACAGACACGTTCACACACTCAGATACACACACACAATCGTACATTTATTGTCGGCATTTTGTTTTTGTGTTCACAACATAAATAAACATGCTAAATAACATGGAAATGAGTAAATATAGGTATAAATATACATATGCATATAGACATAGTCGAAGCATAGAACCCGCCCGACAAACAAAAAATCAACCCCTAGAGCCGATTGGCCATATCTGATTTAAATATAAGCCAGCGACCCCGTAAAAACCCAGCAACAATTTTAATTCTGTATAAATTGGATTATCTTTAAAAACCCTGTAACTGAATGTCATCGAAAATTAACAATGCCCAAATGCTAAGTACCTCATAAAATAATTTTAGTTTAGTCTACCCATGTAAGTAACCACGAAATCTCCACTTAAATCTGTGAATAATCTCCTAAGAGCCTTAAAATATCGAAAGCCTCACTTGAACTCATCGCAAACCCATAACATACGCACATACATACACTGTCTGGAGTTTCCATTAAAGTTTCCTTTTCCTTGTCCCAAAAAACTTTAAAGTACGCCCAACATTATACCAATCATATGCTCAAACGAGAAGTCACGCATTATAATTAGCATTATTTCCCATGATGAGCAAAAACCAAAAAAAATCGATGGATGCTGAGAGAACAGAGAACACATCAAACAAATCGGCTTAGATTCTCGTATAAAAAAAAGCAGCCTGGATTAAATGAAAGAAATTCAGCCATTAGAGTGAGCCAGAGCTTCTCGGAATACGCATAAGAGTGTGGTAGAGACATGAAAGAGGGTCCCCCTGTTGCTGTCTTTGCAAATTGCTGTTTTCCTGGGGCTTGTCATTTTGGGCTTCGTTGTTCTGACTTCCCATCGAAATCTGTTTGCTGGCGATAATCCTGCCCCAAACACATTCTGTTTGAAGTTGCTGAAAAGGAGCTGCCGTTGTGTGGCACACATTAAACTGTCATTAAATTTTTATTTTAATACGAGTATTTCTTGCACAGGACTAGGGCCACGACAGCAGCGCACTTTCTTCCGCCTGATCAGCTCATTGGGCACAACTCTAGTTTGTTTCCCTTAAGCCCCTCCTCCCCTCCTGGCAAGCCAAGCGCACGCATTTGGCGATAATCTGCAGCTCCCGAAACAGCCAGGCTGGCTAGTTAGTCAGCCCACCTAACGAGTGACTAACTGACTTCATAACGAAAATCAATAGCCGGCCTTCGTGCACGTTTCTCGTGGAAGTCAATGTTCTATCTAATTGATTGGTTCCGGAAACCCAACCAAAATCCATTTATCGTATACTCATTTTGTGTGTGTTGGCTAGTTGACGCTGAAATGCCTTTAACTTAGCCATAATATGGCCATAATTACCTGTTAGTACTTTGCTTTATAAACCAGTTTTTAGCTAACATTTTCACAAGTGAACTCCTTACATGTCTCTGCCGTTTGGTTGCTTTTAAAGTCCGTGGCGATTTCTGTTCAAAAATGGCGCTAAGCTTGAGCTAAGACAGCACTTAAAAAGTGATGGCTTACATTGGGGCCATATTGAACCCACGTTGATCCTCCTTCTAACGACAAAAATAAGAGAAACTGGTAAGGCACGCCCACGCCGAAGTTTATATACATTTACTTTACTTTGATTTACTTTTGAAGACATGACAAGAGGTCCGATTTTGGTATTTCAGAAACCAAAATAGCATTTGGAAAGCACAGAAACAGAAGGACATATGGCAGGACTATATCCAATCAGACCTTCAGACCTGAGCAGGAAAATCCTTCCTTTTGTGCACCAGAGCCCTCTGACCAATTTAGAACCCTCTTCAAGGGTATACAAATGCATTTTGGGGGCCAGCTTCTTGAGTCTACGGCTGATGCCAGCATGGCTGCTCTCTGCTAGCCGCTGAGCTGTTTTTGTTTTGCAACTGTCGTGTCGTTAGTTGGCGCCAGATTTGCCTCACACTCACACCCACAACCACTTACTGACACAGTCAAAAAATCAGCGTGTGGCAGCCTTGAAATATGCTTTGTCTACACTTCGTCACACGCATACATACATATGTACTACACACAAATGGGAGAAAGCTGGCTATAGTTCTCTGTATGTGTGTGTGTGTGTGTGGGTGTGGGCCACTTGTCCGTGCGTGTCTTGCCGCAACGTTCCCGGCAGAACGCAACGGAAAAAGTCTAAAAACCTTCCGTGACACAATGCGGGTGTTGCTGATGCTTTTTGCTCAGTTTTTTTCTGTTTTTTTTCTGTATTTTTTTTGGATGTGTCCCACCCATTCCACACGCCTGTTTAGTGGCTTTTGAAGGTAATCAAGTTTCAAGTTCAAAAACTTGACGAGGTTCATGGTGTGTCGACCACTACAATGCACCCGATGCCAGAGCCAAGCGGGCGGTAGGTCTGGGCGCTGTTATTGTTAGGGTTTAGAAATTTTAGAAGTGTGGCCCTGGCCCTGTGTCAAGAGCAGAACGGAACAAGAGGAACTTTCGTGAGAGCTGCCCGTGGCAGTGGCAATACCTCGCCTTGACTTGCAGCCGCGGCGAGTCGTCGTTCAAAGGTCAAAAGCATATGACAATCAGACCCACGCTCGTGCAGATCCACAAGAGGTGGCCCGGATTTTTCGTTACGGCTAATTGCCGTTCATTCAGTGTTCATTCAAATTGCAAACTATTTATTTATCATTAAATGCACTTTAAATAAATGCCAGGTCTCTGAATTATAAATGTCAAATTAATGGCTGAAAGCTGATAAACAAGCAATTTGAATCAAAGGGAAAAAAGGATAATCCCAGGTACGCCCAGGCCAACGAGTATCTGTGTGTCAACAGGATCTATGCTCGTATGCCGGAATGAACCTAAGTAGAAAACAAAAGTAATATGCATTTATTTAAATCAACAACGCCCCAGGATGTGGCATGTCCACGGGCCATGGACACAGTCCTTGCCCACACACACCCACGCGCAGGACTAGAGACCGTTTGCTCGGATTCATATCTGGCTGTATTTACATACATTGGGATAGAGCGGTATTATCTTTTCTTTTTATATATTCCTTATGTGTATACAAATTGTTTGTTTAGCTTTCATTTTTTGGGGGGCATATGGATAAAGGGAAATCAATAGTGTATCCTTTTTTATGTACAGTCGTATGCCCCACATATGCTGCTGGCCGGACCTCTTGTTTGCTATCCTCAGCCTCAGCCTCTGCCACTCGTTTACTTCGTTTGCCTATATTCATGGGCAAACACAATTTTCTTTCAATAAGTTTAATGGGGTTTATGCAAATTGAAATGTTGCACGTTCCGCCTTAAAATAAGATAATACTCAGAGGCACTCTGTTGTTTAAACACACACACACAGCTCTGCTGCAGAAAATGTTTATTTATGCAACGAGGCCTCCAGGAATTAAAGCTGGCAATCAGTCGGGAATTACCAATAAATGAAAAGCCTCTCGTAATTAAAATCGGTCGCATTTCATACGGAAATATATCAGATTTCTACCAAGGCTGCGTTCATTATCCATATCATTTCTGTCGGATACATTTCGCAATGCTGTATAATTTGTAGATCCCTTTTTAATGACCCTTCCTGCTTGACGACCCTCGATTAATAAATAAAATTAGACCAAACAATCCCTGCCCTCGGGGCTGAGCAAATACCCTCGATTCCAACACGTACAAAAAAGAAAACAAATAACTCCCCAAAGAAAACAGAACCAGCATATAAATAAACCCCAAAACAAATTAACAAAGTTTTTAATAGCAATTAATTACTGTGGAAATTCGAAAATCTATAATACCCGCCGAATCATCATTTGAGCAAACAAAAGAGAACAAACAAAATACATTTAATGAATTGCAATATTTGTACTTTTTACTATTGTACTATTACTAGCGTTTTTTATAATGGAATGAGACCCTTTTCTCTATAAATATATCTGTATTGATGAACGTAGAACAAACCTTATAATAATCAACTAAGTTATTCCACCTTAAATATCTTTAATATTTCAATGTAACAGTTTGTAGTTAGTTATCCGCTCTCTCTCTCTCTGTGAAGTGTCAGTCTCCAGCAATTTTAACCAAGAAGAAATGTTTCTTGCATCTACTATAATGTTTTTGTGAATGTATCTAACTCAAACAATAACCACAACCACAAAACAGCAAAAACAAACAACAGCAACAGTTCGTTCATTATACTACCACATGTCCCACATGTACTATACAAACTGAATGTTTTAATCCGTGTTCCTCTTACACCAAACACCAAACACAAACACCCTGAAATAACTATGATACACCCCCCGTTTCACATGTGGTCTCATCGCGAAAGACATTATTCGTTTCGACTGTCGACAAAAACCCCCTCCACTCACTAATTGCAGGCAGTCCCCGGGAGTCGGGTAACAATCGCGTCGACGAGTCGCAACTGATACTGCGGATCCACCGGGGACGTCCTTGCAGCACACCGCAACGCACCCCGCTCTCCGTGCACTCCATGTCCTCGACTCTGAGCGTGAACAGCAACGGATTAGGTGGCGGAGGCGGAGGAGGAGCTGGCGAGGATCATCATCAGTCCATACCGCAGACGGGCACGCCCAAGCGAGCCACCTCGATGCGTGTCAGTCGCCAGCGACCCGAGAAGGTGGCCATCAAGGTGTCCTTCCCCTCGACGGAGAACGTCTTGGAAGCACAGAGAACGGCAGGCCAGCAGCCTCCACACTCACCCCACTTTGCGGTCATCAGCAGCTCCAATGGGCGACGGGCCTCCTTCAAGACCAGCCTCTTCGACATTGGGGAAACCACCTTCAATCTGGACAACACGGCCCAGTCGGCCACGGACTTGGAGAGCGGTAACGCGGCTGCTTCGACGGCAGCCAAGAAGCGGGCGGGCAAGCGCAGCGCAAAGTTCCAGGTGAAGCGTTTCCGCATGGAAACCAAGGCGGCCAAAACGCTCGCCATCATCGTGGGTGGCTTCATCGTCTGCTGGCTGCCCTTCTTCACGATGTATCTGATACGGGCCTTCTGCGAGAGCTGCATCCAGCCGACGGTCTTCTCGGTGCTCTTCTGGCTGGGCTACTGCAATTCGGCAATCAATCCGGTGATCTATGCGCTCTTCTCCCACGAGTTCCGCATCGCCTTCAAGCGCATCGTCTGTCGCTGCGTGTGCACGAGGAGTGGCTTCCGGGCCTCGGAGAACTTCCAGATGATCGCCGCCAGAGCTCTGATGGCTCCAGCCACATTCCACAAGACCATTTCCGGCTGCTCGGACGATGGCGATGCCGTGGACTTCAGCTGACTAATCGGTAGCTATGAGACGAGCTCGGGACCGGGTCCGGGTCCGCTTCAGCGCACATCCTCGCTGCCGCAGGACTCCAGCGATGCGGGGCTAGGGGACGAGGGATCTGGCAGCACCCGGCGGATACGGCGCGGCGGCTTCTGCAAGGGGCGCGTTCTCTGAAGGGGCAATGCATTTCGATTTTTGATACTTTTCGACTTTTGTAAACGTCGCGAGCAGCAGTATCCCGCCAGCATCCCCCTATAAAAATTGTCAGTATTCGCATTGAACGACGTTGTAACTGTATGGCAATAATTTTCATGTATTTACCTAGATCTAAGACTATGTTAAACTACTTACTATATGAGATACTCGTACAGATACATAACTACTTATAACTATTCGTATGAGGCACAAGATACAAGATACACGATAAAAGCCGACTAGCCATAAGCAGCCCATTGTTTTCAGTTCTGTTGTGTACATGTGTTAGGCGCAAGGACAAAACTCTCATCAAATTAGTTACATAACAGATATAAATATATATATATAGGCATATGTGTATGTGTGTGTGTATTGCAGCTGTGTGTGTGTAAGTCAACTGCAGCTGCAATAAAAACGACAGCAGAGAAAAACAAATCGAAATAAATACAAATAAAGAATACAAAAGCCAAGAACAAGTGCCGACAACGAAATGACCAGAAATTGGCAAAATGCCGGGTCTATCAAGGTAGCGACAGCCGGTCTGTGAGGGAAGTGCCCTGAGGCCCGCGACCAAAGACATTCCGAATCATCAAAAGAGAAGTGAAGCCACCATACACCACACCAAAGATGAAATACCCTCTCAATACACAGTCAAGCTGCTATCTGCAGAGGGACTTGTTAGCCTCCTACCAGCATCGACTGGAAACACACACAAAAATGAATTAGATTCTTAAGCACATAGCCGTTCAAGCTTGGTTCTTCATTCTACCGGCTTTAAACGTAGTGTAGAGAATTTTCATTTAACGCTTTTCCTCCTCGCAACACACATGAGTGGGCTCGGTTTCCTTTGACCCATATGGTCTGGTGCTCTTCGACATCAATGACACTCCGTCTTGTCCACTGGACAGCATCGGGTCAAGAGATTCGATATTAAATTGCTCGAAGAGTACCTCGGGGCATAAGCTGACAGATTGGCTAAGAGCAAGAAGTGGGCTTAGAGCTATCGCTGAACAATAAAGCTGCTTTTAATTCTTCAAAAGCCAAGGCAGGAGCAACAGCACAATCAGGAGTAGGGAGTGGGAGGGGGAGAATCTCTGATTATTCATTACTTGTCGCCGGTCGAGTACTCGTAATGAAAATGTATTCAGCAGTTAAACGTGCGTATGAGTAATAAATGCAGAGCAAGCGATGGCTGAGGCATATGGTGCACTGGGGGTGCGATGATTATGCAAATGGCTGTGTGTGTGTGTGTGTGTGTGTGTGTTAATGAAATAAAGTTCACTTTGAAGGCGGCTTAAAGGCGGCTACACGTCTTGCCAGGATACCAGGGGTTCGGGGGGGACACGGCACTACTCGTACAACATCGTTGAGTGCTTGTCGCGTTTATGGGAAAACATTTGCATAATTACGCGTTTAATTTGCTAAAGTGCAGGCTGGATGGCAATGGCTGGCTGCCCCTTTGGCAGAACGCCAGGCCTGACACCCGACGCTCGACGTCTTCGACGAGAAGTGCGTGCAGGACGTGACACGGGGCGTATGAGCGATATTGAATATGTGAGGGATAGCAAAAAATACAACACCCTCCTAATGATAAATTTATTCATACTTATATGTCTGTTTATCTATTCCTGTTTTCCGTTCGAACAGGCTCCAAGGGCATCGGATCACGCTTCGAGGAGCAGCGCCTGACACTCCGCATACACCGGGGAAGGGGCTCCAACCAGCACGACTCCATGCACAGCAACGGGAGCACCCAGAGCACCACCACTACCCTGGGCACACCCTCACCAGAGCGACTGTCCAAATATGCCACGCGCCGCCTTCACCACCACCACGACAAGATCAAGATCTCCGTGTCCTATCCATCCACCGAGAACATCCACGAGCTGACCCACGGCGACTCCGGCCGTGACAGGCGATCCTCGGGCAACGCTCTCTTCGCCGTCCACTACAACGGTTCGAGTGGACGCGAGTCAACGGAGTCGCAGCTGTACAGGCAGCAGCATGGAGGTGGCAGCTCCTGCTACCTGCAGGTGGGCAAAGCCCTGCCCGAACTGGGCAGGCGTCAGAGCAACACCAGCGAAGGAGGTGGAGGATCAGGACACTCCCGTCCGGCCAACAAGAAGATGGGTCGGCGGAACATCAAGGCCCAGGTGAAGCGCTTCCGCATGGAGACCAAGGCGGCCAAGACGCTGGCCATCATCGTGGGCATGTTCATCTTCTGCTGGTGCCCGTTCTTCACGATGTACATCATCCGGCCCTTCTGCCAGGACTGCGTCGACCCGCTGCTCTTCTCGGTTCTCTTCTGGCTGGGCTACTGCAATTCGGCGGTGAATCCCATGATCTACGCCTTGTTCTCCAAAGACTTCCGCTTCGCCTTCAAGCGCATCATCTGTCGCTGCTTCTGCTCCCGCCAGAGTGTCTCGCTGAAGAGCTCTCGTCGCGGCTCCGACATGTCCGCCATCCGGATTCGGGCACGGACACCCAGCATCACGCCCAGCGCGGCGGCCCACAGCTTTGGGGACGAGAGCGAGCTGCACCACTCCGAGATGAGCAACGACCCCAGGTGACGTTCGTTTGGGCCCAGCTCAAGCTCGCAGAGCAGCTTGGGTGGGTTACGAAAGACGAGCCTCAAGGTGCCCGTCTACGAGATTTGCCATCCGCTGGTCATGGAGACGGCCTGCTACTCCTACGTGGAGCCCTCCGGCGATGCCTCAACCTCGGCAGGGAGCGGGCCCAAACGGACCCAGTTGTAGCCACGAGAGCTGCTGGCGCTGCGTGGCCTGGGAACTGGTGCGGTTTCGAGGCCCAGGCAGCGACCAAGGCGCATGGTTCGCATCGAGTACAGCGATGCGAGGGTCTAAGCCGGGATAGCATAGGTAGAAGAGGAATGCGCCAAGTGCACACACAGTCTTCGACTACAACCTTCCTTTGATATGAATGGAACAGGCTTTGGAGCAGCAGCCAGCCTATACTACTCGTAATACCCACCATTGTACATAGACATCCTGTGAATACCCCTTATCGACTATACGTTAGCCTAAGCTGGCCAAAGCGGCGATATGTCTGTACATAGTTTAGCTAGGATATGGATATCGCTGTCATTTGAGAGTTGTACCTTTAAACTTCCGTATGAATAATTGTATAATGTATGATACTCGTAAGCCAAGAAACCAAATTGTTGCTACTGGCAAATAAAAAACATTACCCCGTGCTAAAGCAAAACAAGAAGCAAAAAAAAGAACATACAGCTAAATTCATAAATAGTCAAGTGTTAATGTTGTACTCTCAGCTCGAAGAGCTTATTCCGATAAATATCTGTGTGTCCCGAATACATAATCGATGCAATAAACGAACCCTGGCATGCCCGAAATAATATATATAGATAAAGGCATAGTACATATTACCCAAAATATACGATTCTCAAGTTAAACGTTTTGTGTGCTACGAAAAATAAATGATGTTTAATTTATTCGGCAACTTAAAGTGCGAGTGTCTCTGTTTCTTCCGGGGTGCCATAGCCAGAACAGCCATCGTTTTAATTAAGCGGAAGTACTTCCCTGGAGGCGTAGGCGGAGGCGCAACAAAGTCACGGCCCCAGAGCCGGCAGAGGTGAGTGCGATAAAAGAGTTGCAGCATAAAGAAATTGCTAAGCTGGCGCGTAACAAAGGCCAAATTAAAAGCTAAATGCCTAAAGGCACTTTCGCTAACTGAATTAGGGCCAGCAGATAGAGGAACGAGAAAGCCGGGAACATAACTGGAACGGAGCGTGGACAAAAAGAATCTAGGGAGCGGGACTGGCGTTCTTTCCGGCCCTGCGCGTCGGCCCGTGCTTCCACATAAAACAGACTATCACATGGAATGACTCAGGAAACTAATTTATGCCCGGACCGGACCGGGCAGACTGGTGCTAACTAACCAACTTTGATGGAGGCTCCCACAAGGCCCGCTCCAAGAGCTCCGCAAGAAATCCAATTTATTTGCTTCACTTTCCGCTACAAAAAAGTGTTTTATTTGATGGAAATCAATTGATAAAACGCATTAACTGGCAGCTAAACTGTCAGATCTCCTTCCCCCACCAATGTCCATAAAACTGCCAGACGGAGGCAGACATTGAGATGGCAGGGGGAAATATATCTGCCAGATATTCGTATCTTCCATTGTTGCCATTGAATGTTTTTGGGGGGTGTGTGTGTGTGTGCCATACCCAGTGCGGAGTTTCGCTATTAACCTGAACGAGCTATCTGCTCTGAAGATTCGCTTTTCAGATTTAATTAATCAAATTGAATTTACTTTTCGATAACAGTTGAGTTGTTTCAAAAGTTGGCCCCAGGTAAGGACCCACTGAAAAACAATTTAAGCGTGCACCTTGGTATTTGGAAAACTTTGCCATGGCATGGACTCCACATGTATACATGGCAAGATTTGCATAAATGTGGCAAAAAGTTTTCAGGCCCATGGCCCAGGGGCAGGAAGACGGGAAGGCAACAAGGCGGCCGATAATTGGGATAGCAAATGGAAGTACAAACTGGGTAGATGGCATAAATTACAAAAGTTTCTGATTTCATTATGCCAGCCACACATAAACACAGAACAAACAACGCTGTAAACTGGACTGTCCTAGCTGGTCCTAGCAGGTCCTAGCAGGTCCAAGCAGGTCCTAGCAGGTTCTGGTAGTCGTTAAAGGCATTTAAGTGCAAAGTTCACATCCGAATGGCAGAGCAAAGATGGCCAAACACAAATGAGCCATGTTCCGATTGCTGGGCTCTAGGCCCATCCTTTCCGACCGGTGCTGTCTGAGAGCCTTCGTCTTTGGATCTTTGTTTGCCTTGGTTGATACAGAAGCCGATGGTGCCAAAGGCATGCAAATAGCCACTGCTTTGGGACAATCGATGGAGCACACAGAGGCCGTAGCACAGGAGTCGATACTGTAATCGATTTGATTTTGTTAACTGAGAGACTGGTAGACTACAAGTATCAACAGATGTGCCCCGTTTTAGCCAAAGGTACTCGACGTTTTCTTCTTTAAGCCATGACTCCTCTGTCTGCAGTTTTAAGATATTTTTTTATGTTGCTTGTTTTCCTTACCCCCTTCCCTGGGGCAACTTTAAGTTTGCATCAACCGCAGTGCGAAAGAAGACGACCAACAACCCAGCAACAAATAAGTCAGCTTGCTAAACTATAAAGCTGATTGACAAATGGAGCGGAAATAAAAATATAAGTATTTCTGAGATCTGAGCAACAACAACCGCAACTGTACGACTGGCAGACTGCCAGACTGGGAGACTGACAGACTGGGAGACATTCCCAGCCTGGGAGTAGATGTTCGAGCAAGCGGCCAACAAACAATGAACAAGAAAAAAGTGAAGACAGCTTAGAGAGCTGCAAACTCAGCGAACTGTTTGCACACTTTTTCAGCAGTAACGATGTGTACGGACGGGCAAAGTTTTCCATTCGACCAGCCCGGACCAGGTCGTGCAATGTATCGAAATGTTATCTGAAGGAGTGGGTTCAAGGCTTACTTGAGGCTTCAGCTGCTGGCCTTGTCAAGTGCTTCAGTTTGCCAAGTTGTTATTTAACAGTTTAAGATAACTTAAGTGTACCCGAAAACGGCAGTTCTTGAACCTGTTTAGCACTGAAACTCCTTTTCGAGCAGGCCATTGGCAGGCTCCTTCCACACATGAGACCCACGCACACGCACTTAATTGGGGGTCCGCCCCAAACCGAGTGGCGGTGACAGTTTACGCAATGCGTTAATTCCATTAATTTACGCCTAATTGTTATGGCCGCCCGAAGTGCAATCAAGGGACAGTCCCACGACAGGCAAGTGTTTTGCTCAACAATGGGGAAAAAAGGCTCCAGTCGAAAACAATTTTGCAAGCCAACCCACACACGCAGCCGCCCCCTCGGGGGAGATGTCCAGAAGTGACACGTTTAACGAACAAGCCAACGAGCCGGGCAACGGCACGTTGCCACTGCCATGCCATTTGCAGGACCCTTGATGGGCTGACGGGCTGGCGGTCTGCGGTCTCCCTGCTGTCAGCCACCTGGCCATCGGGCCATTTTGC